ATGTCACAGCTGGAGTAGGTTAACTATCCAGAGGGTGGCTTTCAAGAAGTTGCTGATGTGGTCAACCCTGCATGCCGGGTGGTTATCTAAAATAAGATATTATCTTGCTGAAAATGATGACTACAGACACCTAGAATTACATATTAGTCATAACATTATGTATTATCATAGTATTGTTATTATTTAGTTATAATAACTCTTGCCCCTATTTTTGCATTTAAAAATTTACCTCCCTATAACACTTCAAAAAGAAGACATAGGAAAAAATCTTTGTGACCTGGGTTAGGCAAATAAATATATCTTAGCTGCAATACCAAAAACATGATCCATAACAGAAAAAAAATTGGCAAATTAGACTTCATCAAAATTTAGTTCTTTTTGAAAGACACTGTTAAGAAAATGAAAAGACAAGTCATAAGCTACGAGGAAATATGTGTAAGATACTTATCTGGTAAAGGATTTGTATCCAGAGTGTATAAAGAACTCTTAAAACTCAAAAATAAAGTAAACAATCGAATTAAATGAAATGGTCAGAAGATTAACCATACAGTTCTTTTTTTTTAAATATATCTTTATTGATTTCAGAGAGAGGAAAGGAGAGGGGGAGAGAGAGAGAGAAACGTCAATGATGAGAGAGTCATTGATCGGCTGCCTCCAGCATGCCCCCAACTGGGGATCGAGCCCGCAACCCAGGCATGTGCCCTGACCGGGAATCAAACCCTGATCGCCTGGATCCTAGGTCGATGCTCAACCTCTGAGCCACGCCCAGCTGGGCAACCATACAGTTCTTAAAAGAAGGATACAGGTAGCAAATAAGCACAGGAAAAGATGCAGCATCGCTAGTCATTAGGGAAATGTAAATTAAAACCTCAACGGTATATCACTATACACCAACTGGAATGTCTAGAAAAAATTTAAAAACATGCCAGCAAGGATGTGGAGCAGCTGGAGCCCTCATATATACCAAGTAGGGATGAAAAAGGAATGACCACTTTGGAAAACAGTTTGGTAGTTTCCTATAACAAACTACTGGTATGCGACAACATAAATGAACCTCCTATACATTATGCTAAGTGAAAGAATCCAGATGCAAAAGTCTACTGGCTGTATGATTCTGTATATGCAATATTCTGGAAGAATGCAAAACTATAGCATCATAAAACAGATTGGCAGTGTCAAATCAATTGACTTAAAAGAGTCACAAGGGGATTTTCTTGGGGTGAAAGAACTATATCTCCATTGTATTCTATGTCACAACTGTATGCATCTATCAAAACAAAATGTTTACTAAAACAGATGAATTTTAATGTATGTAAACTATAAGTCGAAGAGTCTGAATTTTCAAAAATCAAAAAGTTACTTTTAAGTTAGAAAGCAATGCCATTTTAGTAAAGCACAGCTTCTATTGGTTCTGTAAAGGTAATGACTAAATTTTGCTCCTTTACTCTGCAGTTTGCAGGAGGTATTTATTCCAGGCTCGAAGCACAAATCAAGGCCTCAGTGTCAGTCAGTGCGCGGCAGGGAAGCTCAGAGAAGAACACGAGGTAAGTCAGCATCAGTGAATTTAGAGTGCCATTGACTTTGAAGTGATTTTCTTTTTTAGGGAAAATCATGACACTAGAAGCATATAATTTGAATTTTGTTTTGTTTCAAGAATTAGACCCAGGCATTAATAAGAATCAGATTTTAACTTAAAAGTTAAGATTTTAAAAGGTCATAAGTAAAAAAAAACAAGGGTCATAAGCACAAAATTTAATGAAAGTATAGTTGTTGTTTTTTAAGTTTTCTGCTTATTAATTCAACTCTGTTCTGACCCAACTGCTGATAAAACTGTAAGCTATTGTGCTACTGTGAATTAGCAGAATTTGTATACTTTTCATAGGTTATATATTATTACTTTATATAAATCATTGAAGTCTTTCCCATTCCTTGTTTTATTTTATTTCTCTCTTAAATATCTAACTTGTGGGTCCTGTGTTATTTTACATCACACATTTTCTTCTAAAGATTAACAGTTAATTGATATTTGATCATTAATACTACAGAGTTAAAAGCCTTATCTGCAATGCAGAAATCCAGGAAGCTCAGAAAACCACAGATTTTTTTCATATATCTGTGTCAGTTCAAACCTACGCTGAGCTACTATGATGCTGTTTTGTAGTTTTTATTTTTCCCACTTAATATAACTGTTCATTTGTTTCACTGTGAAGAAATATTAATGTGTTTGACTATGGGGCACTGCTCCAGATCCATAATATACAATAGTTACCATATTACCTCCCCAAATCAAAAAATATTTGAGTTCTAAAATACCTCTCACTCCAAGGGTTTTTAAAAATGGATTATGGAGCTACATAAAGTTTCATTAAACTTTGATACTGTCAAGCAAGCATAACCTAAAGCAGCAGTAACTTCCTAGTGTTTTAGAAGCACCTCTGACCTTCTTTCCTGTTTAAAAAATCTAGGTCTAAAAGCCGTTTTGGTCCAGGGCGTCCTGCATAGAGCACCTTAACATGTAACTAAAAAGGCAGAAGACACACCTCTGGACATCTGGAATTGCTCACCTCTTGAAGATCTTCAGAACGATGACTTCTAAGTTATTCATTAATTATTTTTGCACACCACATAAATCATAATGCGAAGGGAAGCGTATAATTTAGCCTTATGGAATCTAATTGTAAATATGAAACTTCAAATCTAATTTTCTTTTAGTGTGATGCTAGGCTATATAGAAAATTGATATTTACAAATTTGTTAAGACTCCTAATATTAATTTATTTATTTGAAAGAGAAGAGGCCTAAACTCTCGAGTAGCTAAGGTCTTTTAAAACCTTAAATAGTTAGAGGGACACACCTGGTGGTGGTGCCGTGCATGTGCACTGATTGTCGCATGTCTTCTGTGAATTGTGGGGTAGCACTGGGCACTGCAGTTTGTGTGCTGACATTTCCAGCGGTGCTGATTTTATGTTTGCATGGATATTAAGGAGAGACAGCCCTCAAGACTGCATTAAGTAACATGTCATGGGGAGATATCTCTTGTGTTGGGCAGAAGGGGTAAGCATTTTCAGTGTTATTCCATGGAAAGCACAATGTCAATCCAACTTTCTTTTTCTTTTGGTTTTTAATGCTTATCTGTTGGTCACCTGAGCTGGAATTACTGATTATGAACTCTTTCTCTGTGAAGCTAGTGCCATCCTGAATTTGTTAAAATAATTGATAGTTTTCGGATAGTAAGTCATTTCAGTTATACGAGACACCCACTGTACAGTTCTCAGGGTTCTAAAACCCAACCACATTTCTGTAGCCATTCAAATAGCCCTTTAAAACAGTTATAACTGCTGATTGCTTTAGAGTTCTCTAGAAGGAAGATTCCCAAATGCATTGGATGGATGAAAAATTGCATATATTCAAGAGAAATCAAAATAAAATTATAGAGATCATGCTTTAATTTTCCTAACCAAGCAGAAAGAGTGCTCAGGGAAAATTTGTTCCAAACCAAAAGCATATAAAAAGGTATGTGTTTGGAAATTACTTATATATAGGTCTTGTTAAACTTTAAGATGCACTGTTTCTAATTTAAATGAAGATTTGCCTTATAATTGAAATTGTTTCAAATTATTTAGAGAACAGACTTTGATAATGTGTGACAGAACAGCAGTTTCTGTTGAAATGTTGAAGTGTTACACTCAGTAAGCACATACAGAAACCATTCATTTTAGTTTTAGTTGATAAATTAAGTTAGATTTTATTTGGTGTTCTATGTATGGATTGGCCAAGGTTTTTTAACTTCTGTTTGGAAACTTTGTTGCAGTTTATATATTTTTCAATTGATGTTTTTGAAACAGATGATAAAATTTTTATTTTTAAAAGAAAATGTTTATAATACATGATCTGTAAGCCCTGCTAAATACCAGAGTCTTGCTCAATTTACTATATTCCCTTATTTAAAGGATTGAGGTACATACATGTTACATAGTGCTGTGATAGTCACAGCCAGAAGAGGGAAATGGGCTCTTTTGATTTTTTAACTGATAGTAACAAGGCAAATTGCTTCTCCCCTGGGGAGACTGTACCACTGAATTGATTTTTACAAACCACAATTTATCAGAATTTGATTCTCTTCAGAGCGTGTTTTTTATTTTGTTAATGTCTGTCGAACATAACACAGGTACCACAAACATTTTATTCAAGCTTTTAATAGCATTTCTTTTGCCAAATACTTTGAGGTTTGACATTAAATTAATTCTGAATTCCCATTTCTTTAATTGAAATAAACGTTAATGACAAAAATAGTTTGAGAAGTCCCTTGATCTGAATTATTCCATTTTCTCAGAAAGGTCTGATGGACTCTAGATCACAGGTTTTCATAGAAAAGGTGAATTTCATAAAATCTAAGATGGATTTTTAAAAATATGTTTTTATTGATTTTAGAGAGAGAGAGAAACAGCGATTGGTTGCCTCCCACTCACACCCTGACCAGGGATCCAACCCACAACCTGGCATTTGCCCTGACCGGGAATCAAACTGGCGACCTTTTAGTGCAGGGGACTACGCTCAACCAGCTAACAGTGCTGATTCCAAACTGTGGCATTTTGGAATCATTTTGTTTTCCTTCTGAATACTGAGCCAGGTATTGTGAGATGTGCTGATTGCTTTGGAAGCGGAAGCTGAAGCTCTATCATGCATTTTATTTTTATTATATAAAAATAAAAATAAAATATCTTTTATCTCCAATACCTGGAATTAGTCAACCTTCAGCTATTCACTGAGGAACTAGTATAAATTTCACCTTCTCACACCTTTTAGTTAAAAGTCACTGGGGTACCCTAGTCAGTTTATTTCTAATATGTTAACTCCCACTCTCACTTAAAGCTGATGTGTCAGGGAAGATGATATGGGGATAATGTTATTCCCATCCTACAAGAATGTTGGGGTTAAATGACTTACAGATCTAAAACAGCATAATACTTTCTGGCTGATAGTAAGCCCTCCATAAATACAACTATTGTTGCATTGTTATTTTAATATTTAGTAAGTAGACTTAAATTCTATAAGATGAGGGTTTGATATCCCTCTTACTATAACTTGAGTTGCTAAGACTTAAGTATGTTTGTGTGTGCTTAGTGCAAGAAAGAAAAGAGGCACCCAGTACTTTGGTGGTGGTTATGGCATCATGGGTTACTATGTTATACTAAACATCTTGCCTTACTCAGGCAGAATAAATAGCATTTGTAGGAAGAGCTAGGAAGGAAAACCGTTTCCTGATATGTGATAGTGACCTATGCTATTTTCAAAGAGGTTTACTGAAGAGAGTGAAGGTTACACCATAGTCTTTCTTAGAGCAGCTCTCCATCCAAGATGTATCTTTTCTTGAGAAAATGTAGCTAGTTTGGCTCTTCCTAGTTGTCAAGGCCAGTTCTGATCAAATCAGAGTTGGTGTAGAATAGTAGTTGCTAAATGTATATATGCCTTCTCTCTTTTAGTCTCACAATAGCCCCTCCACATCAGGTATTCTCATTTTATAGGTGGAGAAGTAAGTTCAGAGAGGTAAAGTAGCCCACACACTGGGATTGGAACCTGGACCTATCAGCACATTCCAATGCCTTGAAACAATTTACCTTGGATTGCCCGAAACATTCTTTCTCCGCTTTCTTCCTGTACTTTCAGTCTTGTGTATCCAGCGGCCTCTTTCGCATTTGTACTTGAAACACCAATACTTGTCTCCACCTTGACATAATAAAAACAGAACTTGTGATATATCTCCCCAGCACCTCCTCCCCAATCCCTGCTTGTTCGAGCCCGGTCTTCCCCAGTCTAGCAAATGGTGATATTGCCCATCCAAGTACACGAGCCGAAATCTAGGAATTGTTTTCCTGTTCCTCTCTTTCCTTCACTCTCACATCCAGTTCACCGACACATCCATTTGCTTCTCTCCATCTCCATTATCACCACCCCAAGTCAGTGTCTTTTACATGAAGTGCTGCCAAAGTCTCCCAAGTGATACCCAGCTTCCACTCCAACCTGTTATCTACCAAGTCACTCTCATCACATCATCACAGTTTATTTCTGTATGAATGTGACATTACTCTGATATGTTTCTTTTTCTTCTTCTTTGTTGGTTTATAGTTTGTCTCTCATGCCAGAAAATGAAATTAAATGCATCCAAATTGGAAAAGAAGTAAAACTATATTCACAGGTGACATGATCTTTAGATAGAAAATCCTAAGAAATCCACTAAAAACCTATTAGAACATATAATTAAGTTCAGCAAAATCTCAGGATTCAAGATCGATGTACAAAAATCAACTTGTTTCTACACACTAGCAATGAAAAATCTGAAAATGAAATAAAACAATTCTCTTTATAATAGCATCAAAAAGAATAAAATACTTAAAAATTAACAAAAGCAATGCAAAACATATTCTGAAAACTATAAAATATCATTGAAAGAAATTAAATGGAAAAACTATTCCACGTTCATGGATCACAAAACTTAAATGTTAAGATGGCATGAGACTCCTCAGTGTTACCACAATTCTGTCAGAATCCTAGCTGGCTTCTTTGTTGAAGTTTACAAGCTGATCCTAAAATTCATATGGAAACAAGGACCCAGAACAGCCAAAACAATTTTGAAGAAGAACAAAGAGGATTCATACTTTCTGTTCTAGAATCTTACTGTAGAGCTAAAGGAATCAAGACAGTGTAGTACTAGCAAAGGACGGGGTGTGTGTGTGTGTGTGTGTATATATATATATATATATATCTCAATAGGACAGAATTGAGAGTCCAGAAATGAACCCATCTGTTTACAGCCATCTGTCAACAACATGCCAACACCATTCAATGGGGAAAGAATAGTCTTTTCTACAAACGGTGCTGGGACAACTGGATAGGGTCGTGCAGAAGAATCAAGTTGGACCCTTACCTCACACCATGAACAGCAACAAAATGATTCAGAATGGATTAACGACCTAAATATGACAACAAACACAATTAAGAAAGTGAGAAGACAGCCTACAGAATGGAAGAAAATGTTTACAATCCTATGTCTAATAAAGGACTTCTTTTCAGAATATATAAAGAACTTTTACAATTCAACATTAAAAAGGCAACCCAGTTTTTAAAGTGATAAAGGATTTGAATAGACAGTTCTCCAAAGAAGGTAGCCAATAGCACTTCATAAGGTGCTCAACGTCGTTAGTCATCAGAGAAATGCAAATCAAAACCACAATGAGATACCAGGTCACACCTAGTAGAATGGCTATAACAAGAAAGCCACCTAACGACGTGTAGAGAATGTGGCGAAATTGGACCCCTCATAACTGCTGGTGACAATGTAAAATGGTGCAGCCTCTTTGGAAAGCAGTCAGACAGTTCCTCAAAAAAGGTTACCATTTATCCATCAATTTATCCTAACAGGTATATCCTTTTTAATTTAATCTCTTCTTGTGTTTACCCATATGCATATATCCATGCCCAGAACAGTATTATCTACTTTTTTATACAGAAGGAGAAAGAGACCCAGAGATAGCAGCATGTCTAAGGGCAACAGAAAGGATGATCTGCGCAGCGTGCTCTTCGTAACAGTGTTGCTGTGTTAAATGAGGTAATATACACACGTCAAGCACTAAGAATAGAGCCTGACACATAGTGAGTGCTCAAAAGATGTTATTGCCTGGCCGGTGTGGCTCAGCAGTTGAGCATCAACCTAGGACCCAGAAGACAGTGGTTTGATTCCCGGTCAGGGCACATACCCAGGTTGCAGGCTTGATCCCCAGTCGGGGTGTGCAGGAGGTCAATGACAACTCTCTCATCATTGATGTTTCTCTCTCTGTCTCTCCCTCTCCTTTCCTCTCAAATCAATAAAGATATATTTAAAAAACGAAAAAAAATGTTAGGCCACATGAAAGACTTAGAAATAACTATGTTGTGCTCATTTCCATTTTGACCTTGGCTCATGTTTTCCTACCTAGATTGCTCTTTTGTTCTGCTGCATATTGAAATTTCTCCCTGGCTTTATGTCCCTGCTCCATGTTGGTCTCTCCGAATTATATGGCACTCACAACATTGCCTCGGTTTAGCAGTCACATGTTCTCATTGCTTTTTTTTTTTTTTTTTTGATCTTAAGTCCCCAACCAACTCCTATGCTCTACTAGTAATATTTTATATACACATGATCCTTGAACAGTGTGGGAGTTAAGGGCTTAAACCCGCTACACAGTTGAAAATCCACATATAACTTTTGACTCCCTCCAAAACATAACTACTGATAGTCTACTGTTGACCAGGAGCCTTAGCAATAATATATAGTTGATTAATATATATTTCTTTTATGTTAAATGTATTATATACTGTTGTCTTCAAAAAAGTGAGCTATAGAAAAAATATTCAGAAAGTCAAAAAAAACATTTACTGTGCTTATTGGAAAAAATTTGCATGTAAGTGGACCCATACAGCTCAAACCCGTGCTGTTCAATGGGTCAACTGTATAATCTATATAAATATTTGAAACAAATATGTCAATGTTCATTTTTGTTAGTTTTGAATTGTTTTAGACTCTATGTTTGTGGTTAATATATTTTCCCAAATTAAAAAGAATTAAACCACCAGAAGCTATTGACCATTAAAATGATGAGAATTTGTTTAAAAAATTAAAAGCTTCAGCAACAAATGTAGGCAACTGTCAGAATTATTTTACATCAGGTACAAACACTTGACGGGACCTCTAAAGTGTATTTATTTCTACCCATAAGTAGTCATAAGACTGTGAGTGTATGTGGTTATGTAATCAGGGAAGAAAGCTGACTTCCCCCCCAGTAAGTGAAGGAGCTGAATATTTGTTAAATGGCATCGAGCTTTGTCCAACAAATCAATGTGAAAGCCTTTCTGACAGTGGTTCTGCAGTGAAGCCTAGTGTTGATATTTTTTAAGGGTCACAAGGTGACTCTATTGTACAGACAGATTGAGAACCATACTGCTATGTGACATGATATCTTTAAATGACTCACAGCAAACTTCAGAGGAAATGTTCAGGAGCATTAAAGAAAAAATCAGGAAAGCACAGATTCTGGTACCAGAATGCTGCCAGAGGGTGGCGCCAAAGTGCCAAGAAACTAGTTTGAAAATCTCACAATTTGGTTTGTTTATGCTTAGTCTTCCTTAGCAAGTGTGCATATGTGTATTATTTGTAGAAGAAAACAGAATATTGGAAAAAGAGCTGGTAAGAGAAAGTATAGCTAAAATACATAAGGAATTCTAGAAGGCAAATGAGGAAAAGGAAGAAAAGCAGGAA